GGCGAGAAGTGCTGGCGGCAACTTCGCGAGCTGAACTGGCGGCATCTCGTCGAAATTTTAGCGCTGAGGGATGCCGCCAGGTCAGAGAGCACGAGAAATAGCGTGCTCATTTGAGAGATCAAGGTGCCACCACCCCGACGTGCCCCTACCACGTCGAGATGGCGGCACCTTGCTGGCGGCGTCTACAAGTTTGCGTCGCGCGCAATATCACACAATTTATGTCCAGCAAAAAAACCAAAAAAAATATTTTCCATCAAAAATCTATCATTTTTGCCATTATATGGGTTTTTCTTGCACAAGAAACGACTACTGATATTATAACACCATAAGTACGCCATTTTTATTTTGCAATTGCTTCAAATCTCATTTGCAACGGTTTCGTCCCTCGCTCGCTCTTATCAATCAGCTGTTTTTTTAGGTCAACGTTCATCGCGCATTGTATTGATCATGTTCACATGCAGGCGCTCACTACTTAGGTAGCGTTTCTATAATTGCTGCTGCAAACAGAAGAAATTGAACGAGTGGTCGAATTGTTGGTGCGGCGGCGCTTGAGGTTGACGCACGCAGGTTCGAACCCGCGCTATGTCGCTGTTTTGCGGCTATCAGCGGCATCAAAAATTCCATGTGCGTAGGACTGTGGAGTAAGACCATTTAAGTCTATTAGATCAGTCCGCGAGCTGCCGCCAAAGTTGGCAATTTTCCGTGAATTCCGTGATGTGCGCCAACTTGACGGCATCTATGATGCCACCAGGTAGGGTAGATTACTACCGGCCCAGATGTTTCGTATTCAAAACCCGCGATAAATGTCAAATTCCATTTTTAAGTTCACCGGTCTTTCTTTCTCTCTCTCAAAAGAGCTCTCCAGCTAAAGCCAATGCATGACAATCTATGGAGATAACTCTAAATTATGCTTGCTAAGGTCTTCGATGTATGTTGTACTCTGCGCTACACCATTACAAAAAGCTGGTCTCACAAATTATCAAACAGGCTGACAACGGAATAGCGTAGTGTATTTTATCAGAGAATTTGCCTTGACAACCTGAGTGTAATGCTTTAATCGGTCATACTTATGCAATCTGGAGGAAGTTATGAAGAAAAAATCCTGAACGTCATTTTTCGTCTTCTGTCGAATAATTAGCGTGGGTTGTAAGTTTTCCAACTAATTTAATGGAAAAAGAAGCAAACCTTTGGCGATCCTACTCAGTGAATAGGAATTACAAAATCTCACTGTGCATATGGGCAACCTAAATACGTTGTGTTTACAGTTGAAAATGGACCATTTTACAACGTGGAACCTTCTCTATGAAAGAAATAGCAGTAGTTCTGTGACTGAACTCGTGTGCTCTTATTTTTGCGTAACTTCTCGCAGGAAGCCCTTTAACGCAAAAACAAGTTTGTCCCACTCTTTTATTAAAGCTGCGAAAGGAATTAGGCTGCTTCTGGTAAAAAACTCCGACAGAATGGGAGTTTCGCGTCACCTTGAGAGGTTGACTTTGCGAAGGGAAAAACTCTTGTTTCATATTGTAAGCATTAGTAGCAACTGTAGCCGTAGGAATGTAAACATCAGTAGATACGTGATGATATGCGAGAGATCATAGTCCATCTGTTCAGGGCGTGATCAAGCAAGCCAAGCTGAGAGGAGTCTGGAGAGAGACACGATACCGACCGGCTGCCCGAAGCTTCCCCTCCAAGGCTGATGCCTACCCGACTAGCGAGCTACATCTTGTGTCACGGATCATCGTTACCATTATGTTCACTTGCCTTATATGTAATTTACTCATTCTTGTTCCATGGTCTTCACGATTAATAGATAAACTGTTAGTGTGTCTGGTGTTCGGGTATTTACCAGCCTGAGCCGCTTCCACGGCGCGTACGTTGAGTATATGAAATTCTAAAGTAAAAGGAATGGGCGCTTTTTAAGATTCATCACGTTAGAGAATTTTGTGCTTCTATCAGGAAGGTTTTTGGACTAGATGAAGGGCTCGTTGCTTGTTTCACTGCACGAAATTTCACGATTATGAATATCGCATTCCTCTGAGATAGAAACTGGGGATATCTAACAAGTGAAGGATACTTGGTCAAAGTGGAGTTTCCATATAAAACATTTACTATCGTATAGCTATCGCTTGAAACGCTGAATCCAAATTTGTTTTCGGTATATGCAAAGCGCTTCTGGTTGGGAAGTTATGGGAATTTTTTTTGAACAAAAATCAAAACCAGCGGCTGCAATAAAATCATCTGAAAGTGTATTTCCTGCTGCATGAGGAAGGCGCAATTTTTTGGGCGCGAACGCGGCTTTATTAGCCGCAGAGCGCATAACGCGCATTTTTACAACGATGAGGATGCGCACGCGCCGCGTTAGCGCCCGTTCAATTAATGCGCTGCGCCTTCGTCATTCAGCAGCATTTTGTCCGTAAGCTCAAATTGATTCATGTTTACTGCCAAGGCGCTTTGCAGTTAATAACTTTAGTCTAAAAAATCATGCCAGTTATTATTTCTTTTCAACTATGGAAAAACTTCAATACTTGTTTTTACCTTAGCCAAATCCTTGTATTTCTGCCTCATAAAACCCCATAACTTCCCTTCCAAAAGCACTTTGCAGATAACGAAAGCAGATTTGGAGTCAGCGTTCCATGCTCAGACACCATATACTTCATTATGAAACACTACTTCAACCAATTATCGTTCCCTTGTAAGGGGTTTTGCTCGCTACAGGCGAGAAAGCTTAGCACTGCGAGTTCGGGTTCGCTTATTTGTGAGAATTTCTGACGAAGAAATAGCAGTGCTTCTGGTTCGAAAAGGAGGAGGGGGAGGAGGGGGTTGTAAGGTCCGCCACTTCTGAAGGAAAGTTTTGAAGTGTAAGGATACTCGCCCATTTGGCTGTATGGAATCGTTGTGAATAAATTGCGATCCTCCATGGAAGAGGTTTAGATTTGCCTAAGAGCACATGCTCACTCCTGGCATGAAGGTCATTAAGTGTTGAAGAAATATAAATTTCCCAGACAATCGGTGCCATAACTCCGGAGGACAGTCGAAATCTGGCAGAGTTGAGGGCCTTCTTAACCATTGAGGAGGCGGGGCGAGGGGGCAGTGCCTTCTTGTGACGTCACGGTGACGTTACAAGAAGGCAGATGGGACCAGAGCTCAGCAGAGGTGGCGATTTCACACGTTGGATGTCGTTTTCTTAGAGAAAAGCAAGAGGGAACTCGTAAAGTTTTCAGAAGTGATTCGCGGAAATCTGACTAAATAATAGTGGGCGAAAGCTAACCTTTAGATAACTCTTATTTCAACTCTGACGCCATTTCACAAGTAGCAGGTAGATAAACACGTTACAAACAGGGTAAGTGCTGACACCTAAGTGCACGCATTTCAACGTGTTAAAGCACATTCTTTATGCACAAAAAATAAATAAACAGTTTGTTTACAACCGGTAAGCAAAACTGAGCCACCAAGTTTGGTGTGTAGCTTCGCGACCACGATCAAAAGGAAAGTATGAAAAATTATGAAACAATTATGTAAATGAAAAGAATTGTAAGTGTTTTTCTAATTTAGGTTACTCCCGCGCAACCTGAGAGCACCCTAAGTTTGCGCGGAACCAAACAGACCAAATCAACATAATTTTTCGAAATTTTTTACATAAATCTGTTCTTCAGTTCGAACATACCTTTATGTACCAGTGGCGTACCCAGGATTTCCGCTCGGGGGGGGGGGGGCGCGACAAAAATTTTTTTTTCAATGAAGGTGCGTGGCGTTAGCCACGCACCCAGAAAAAATTTTTGGTACCCTTCTTAAAATTTTCGCGGGCTCATAACCCCAAAATTTTAGAAAAAGGGGGCGTGGCGCCAGCCACGCCCCGGAAAAAAATTTTTTTATAAGGCTGAATTGTATTTTTAAAATTTTTTAAAAATTATTTTAATTACTTACAAGTACAAATAAGTCTCTTGCACATTTTTATAACTCGTGTAAGTAACTTTCAAAAATTTCGCGACCCATTCTCGGGGGGGGGGGGGGCGCCCCCCCCGCCCCCCCCCCCCCCCCTCGGACCGCCACTGTATGTCCGATATCTAAAGCTAGGTTGCGCGGAACCAAACAGACCAAATCAACATAATTTTTCGGAATTTTTTACATAAATCTGTTCTTCAGTTCGAACATACCTATATGTACTTATCTTAACCCAAATTTCGTCCCCTCTGCTTTGCTCTGCTTTGAACGATACAAAAGCCGCTTTTAGGTGTTGGTGTTTTATCTCCGATTTTTTGTCTATTCTTAACTTCCATTCACTCATCGTTCGCTGCAGATTATTACCTGTTCTACAAACACCCAAAAGGTATCTCGCAGTCTTCTGCAATGTCAAGGGGAACTTCGCTTTCAATTCTCGAACGCCACCTCGTGCTGGGCCCTGGATGGGACCCCTCCCGCGGGCTTGCAAATCTTTGCTCCGGAGGTACGCCAGATTCGGGACACCTCCGGAGCGAGCGCAATAGCTACGCAGCAAATTTGCTGTGGTACGCAGCTTAGCATTTTCGAAAATAAGCTGCCGTCGCTTTTGACTTACTCTTTTTTGACGTTCTTTCGCGCTCGTTTTTTTTTGGTTTTTCGTGTTGCTCGTCGGCGCGTTGGCGTTGTTCTAAGTTCCTTGTTTTCAGGTTTATGTTTCGGATTCTCTCGCGGATGCATTCAGTGACTTTTGGTGTTCGGCTCTCGTTTTCGACTTGCTGTCATTTTTCCGTGTTCTTTTCCGTTCTTTTTCTTTTTCGTGTTGCTCTTCGGCGCTTTTGGCGTTTATTTGTTCAGTTTCTTTCCAGGTTTCAGGTTATTTTCGTGCGGATGCACTCAGTCACTTTTGGTGTTCGGCTCTCGTTTTCGACTTGCTGAGACATCATTGACTATTGATGGAGTGATTTTTGTGATAGATACTGAAATTTTTGAAACAAAAAGTTTATAATCCGAGAATTCGTGTTGAGTCATTATTAGTATGTCTGATATCTAAAACTAGTGCTATGCAACGTGCTGGTCGTGCTGGTCGTAATAAGCCTGGTTAGCTTTTTCTATTCGTTCTCACATTGTGAAATTGTGTATTTAAGAAAAGTGTTTGCAATTATTTACGGAGAAAGCTTATCAAGAAGAGATGCAAGAGCAGACGTACCCGGAGATACTTCGGTGACCCCTTCCAATCGCACACGTGTTTTTCTTCAATTATCGTATTCCAGTTCAAATCTAGGGTGGGTGGTTTTGCAGCTCAAGAAGCTAGGCATTAAAAATCTCGTGCATTTTGACTTCACGGATCCTCCAGCTTCAGAAACCCCCATGAGAGCTCTAGAACTACTCGATTATCTTGCCGCTATAAACGATGATGGTGAACTAAAAGTGTTGGTTTTCTGATGGCGGAATTCCCTCTAGATCCGCAGATGGGAGAGGAAAGTTGGCCACAGGATTGATTGCGGTAGAAGGGCAGTAGGGGTTGCTAGAGACTTTTCAAGAAGAAAGGCCGGGCTGGTTTATTTTATTTGCTCTTGCGGGCATCGACTAAATGGGTTATAAAGGAAAGATTGAGCTCCGGTATATGCACAAATCTTTAACGTCGATTTGAAGCCGCAAAGCATTAATATACGGCATATGCCTATGCAAAGTAAATTTGTAGCTTCGTCTGCGTCACTATACATTTTTGCACAAAGTTTATTTCTTATCACTATTTTTACCTTTTCTTTTTTTTGAGAACTCATGACTTTTGAATCTAGAAGGAACCAAGATGCCGAGCTCGAATATCAGCTTCTGCTGGCCCGCATAGACTTCTCATGGGAATCACCATTAAAGAATGCGCAAAGATTAATCAACTTTACTCCTTTGAAGAAGAAAGGTCAAGCACTCATGGAATTGGCGCAGGTATACAGCACTGCTAATTTGCCTGCGAGTAATAAGCATCCATCCTAGGTCTTGACAATTGCCGGTGATTCTTTGGCTGCGTAGAACGTTCTTCTTGAGTTCTGCTACATCACAAATTCACTGATGCCTGATGATGCAGAGATTCTTGAGGCTAGGCCAATTTTTCGTAAGTGCCGAGTACTGTTTTCGTTTCTTTTCCCTTATATTCGTTTTTTTTCAGTGTACAAGTACTTTAGCAGAATGAATCGATTAAAAGATTTGAGTTTGTCAAGTTTTTGCGAGAATTGATTGACTGCATATGTGGATTTAGCTGTGCCAAACGAAAGTGCTGCTGTTTGAGGCCAAATGTCGCCAATTCTCCTCTAAGCTAAATCTTTTGGAAGAAATTGGCCAACTGAACTCTTAGGTACCGGATTGGTGTCCTTCGCTCAAAGCAGAATTCTTGTTCATTTTTAGATCTTGCAGACCTGCAGAATCAATTTCATGCGTTAAGGCGGCTTCAAATCGACCCATGCTCAGTTTCTCATACAAAGATGACCGGGCAGAAGCATCGTGTATCTTTCGCGGGCAGATACGCATCGAGATGAAGTTGATGTTGAGACAAGTGAAGAAGAGGAAAATGAGGAAACCACGGACGCTGGATGCGAGGCCGAACAAAGCAATAATGATAAAATCTTTGGGTATGCATAGTTACCCAATAGGATTTCATCAGTAAAAACTCATTTTCTCTATACAATGTATAATATTAAGTATGTATATGCTACTTTGAAATAGATGTATGTCTCGTCTTGTCTTCATTCTTCTATCTTACTATCTAAAAACGCTGGGGCCAGCAGAAGCTGGTATTCGAGCACGGCATCTTGGTTCATTCTAGATTCAAAAGTCATGAGTTCTCAAAAAAAAAGACAAAAGGTAGTGGCGTGGTAGTGGTAGTGGCGTCCCTCAGGGTGGAATTCTATCACCGTTACTTTTCTTGACCTACGTTGCTGAATTACCTGCATACCTGAAAACCCATCCAAGTGTCAAAATACAAATGTTCGCTGACGACATAAAAATTTATTCTTGTTATGATTCCGATCATCAAAGTGAAGCCTTCATGGCACTTTCCTCCTCCATCAGCAAAATGGAAATTTGGTCCAAGGAATGGGACATCCCTCTAGATGCTTCAAAGACTACCGTTATGCACCTTGGGGATTCACCCTGCCGAACCTACTCCTGCGACGGTGTCGGTCTTGAATTCGCAAACCCAATGCGTGATCTTGGTGTCATGATTGACGCCTCCCTTTCATTCAAATCTCATATCGATCTTGTTATCAAAAAGTCTTCAGCAACTCTTTTTACTATTATTCGTGGCATACATAGCAATGATCCTGAGGTTTTTTTTGAGGCTCTACAAAAGCTATGTCTTGCCGCATCTCGAATATGCCTCGCCTATTTGGAGTCCATTCACAAAAGGAAACATCGAAAGAGTCGAAAAAATCCAAAAAACGTTCACCAAAATATTATTCTATAGATGTTTTCCCAATCCTAATTACCCACAAGCTCTACCCTCCTATCGGTTACGGTTAAATAAACTGAACCTGCAGAGCCTACTGTATAGATGCGTTCTGAATGATCTGACTTTGTGTTTTCGAATTCTGCGCTTAGAAACAAGACTCAAAGCTAGCAGTTTTGGATATTCAGACCGTGTAGCGAACGATCAGATAGGTTTGGTCTTTACTATCGCAAATTGGGAAAAAAACGATTTTTGATGACTTTCAACTCTTTCATTTGTCGAACAACCCGATGGTTTTCGGTCCTACCGGATTACATCGTTTCCAGTGAAAACTCCAAAATATTCAAAGAAGATTACAAAATATTAATGTGTTACAGCTACTCGATATCTGTGATTTTTAGATGTTATGAGTACGTGCGCCATCCACCATTGTTCCAACCACCCTCCATGCTTCGCCAAGCCGTTACCTAGTCAAGTCTTCCATACCTGGTCACGTCGCCCACTTTGTCGAGTCGCCATACCTCGTCAGGTCTCTTACTCCTCCCCAAGTCGTGGTACCTCGTCAAGTCGCTCAAGTCGCTCATTCTTGGCCAAGTCATATATACCTCGTCAACTCGTCAAGTCGTCAAGTCGTCAAGTCGCCCACACCTCGCAAGCCCTCCATACCTCGTCAAATCTTCAACCCAGTCTACTTAGCAAATGCATTTCACTTCATTTTTTGATAGTCAAAAAACATTGAGTCATTTCTTCCCAGCTATTTATTTTCGTTTGTTCACTGCCACTAACTTAGACACCCTGCTTCACTAACGATCATATTAGCTTGCTTTGTATGTCAGGGTACATGATTCTACCTTTTGTCTTCCTATTACAGTCACACCTAAGCGCCCAGGTTACTTTCGCTTATGCCTTACTTCTATGCCTTACTAGCAAGCTTTAGCTGGCACTTCAACTTAGAGTCTTGCTATCCTCCAAAAGGTATACTCATCTGGGGTCTGTCAGCTAGTTTCCGCCCGTAAGCTCGCTGGCACTCAAAAAGGGGTTTTCGGAATAATTTTGGAGGATGCAATACTCTCCAGTCATTTTTTGTTTCTCAGGCCATATTTACACTCATCAGGCATTTGAAACAGATTTCGCTATATCTTAAAGGGCCTAAGGTTAGTGGATTGCTTATACGTCCATCGTTTATCTCCCTGAAGCCATGGACAAGCTGTTATCATGTTATTGTTCGACGTGCTAGAGTTTTATTTTTTGTTGTTCTTTGGTGCACCGTGAGTGTAAACTAAAATAAAATAAAATAGAATAAAAAGGTAAAAATAGTGACTGACGCAAACGAAGCAAATTTACTTTGCATAGGCATATGCCGTATATTAATGCTTTTCGGCTTCAAATCGACGTTAAAGATTTGTGCATATACCGGAGCTCAATCTTTCCTTTATAACCCATTTAGTCGATGCACGCAAGATCAATCAAAATACCACTCCGGCCTTTCTTCTTGAAGAGTCTCTAGCAACCCCTACTGCCCTTCTACCGCAATCAATCCTATGGCCAACTTTCTTGATATAGTCATAGTTTTCAGACACCAAGATAAAGCCTAGAAGAATGAAAGGAGTTAATTTGATGTCCAAAAAAGACCTCTCCCATCTGCGAATCTAGAGGGAATTCCGCCATCAGAAAAGCCAACACTTTTAGTTCACCATCATCGTTTATAGCGGCAAGATAATTGAGTAGTTCTAGAGCTCTCATGGGGTTTCTGAAGCTGGAGGATCCATGAAGTCAAAATGCACGAGGTTTTCAATGCCTAGCTTCTTGAGCTGCAAAACCACCCACCCTAGATTTGAACTGGAATACGATAATTAAAGAAAAACACGTGTACGATTGGAAAGGGTCACCGAAGTATCTCCGGGTACGTCTGCTCCTGCATCTCTTCTTGATAAGCTTTCTCCGTAAATAATTGCAAACACTTTTCTAAATTGCACAGTTTCCCAATGTGAGAACGAATAGAAAAAGCTAACCAGGCTTAGTACGACCAGCGCGACCAGCACGTTGCATAGCACTAGCTTTAGATATCGGACATACAGTGGCGGTCCGAGGGGGGGGGGGGCGGGGGGGCGCCCTCCCCCCCAGAATGGGTCGCGAAATTTTTGAAACTTACCTATATGGATTATAAAAATGTGCAAACGACTTGTTTATTTTTGTAAATAATTAAAATAATTTTTTAAATTTTTTAAAAATAATTAGCCTTATAAAATGATTTTTTTAAAAAAATGAATTTTTTAAATTTTTAAAAGAAATGGCTAACGCCACGCCCCCTTTTCCACATTTTAGGGGTTGGGGACTCTCAAAAATTTTGAGACGTACTCCTAAAATTTCTTCGGAGTGCGTAGCTAGCGCCACGCACCTTCATTTGAAAAAAAATTTTCCGCGCCCCTCCCCCCGGTCCAAAATCCTAGGACCGCCACTGCGGACATACTAATAATGACTCAACACGAATTCTCGGATTATAAACTTTTTGTTTCGAAAAATCCAGTATCTATCACAAAAACCACTCCATCAATAGTCAATGATGTCTCAGCAAGTCGAAAACGAGAGCCGAACACCAAAAGTGACTGAGTGCATCCGCACGAAAATAACCTGAAACCTGGAAAGAAACTGAACAAATAAACGCCAAAAGCGCCGAAGAGCAACACGAAAAAGAAAAAGAACGGAAAAGAACACGGAAAAATGACAGCAAGTCGAAAATGAGAGCCGAACACCAAAAGTGACTGAATGCATCCGCGAGAGAATCCGAAACATAAACCTGAAAACAAGGAACTTAGAACAACGCCAACGCGCCGACGAGCAACACGAAAAACCAAAAAAACGAGCGCGAAAGAACGTCAAAAAAGAGTAAGTCAAAAGCGACGGCAGCTTATTTTCGAAAATGCTAAGCTGCGTACCACAGCAAATTTGCTGCGTAGCTATTGCGCTCGCTCCGGAGGTGTCCCGAATCTGGCGTACCTCCGGAGCAAAGATTTGCAAGCCCGCGGGAGGGGTCCCATCCAGGGCCCAGCACGAGGTGGCGTTCGAGAATTTTGAAAACGAAGTTCCCCTTGACATTGCAGAAGATTGCGAGATACCTTTTAGGTGTTTGTAGAACAGGTAATAATCTGCAGCGAACGATGAGTGAATGGAAGTCAAGAATAGACAAAAAATCGGAGATAAAACACCAACACCTAAAAGCGGCTTTTGTGTCGTTCAAAGCAGAGCAAAGCAGAGGGGACGAAATTTGGGTTAAGATAAGTACATATAGGTATGTTCGAACTGAAGAACAGATTTATGTAAAAAATTCCGAAAAATTATGTTGATTTGGTCTGTTTGGTTCCGCGCAACCTTAGGGTGCTCTCAGGTTGCGCGGGAGTAACCTAAATTAGAAAAACACTTACAATTCTTTTCATCTACATAATTGTTTCATAATTTTTCATACTTTCCTTTTGATCGTGGTCGCGAAGCTACACACCAAACTTAGTGGCTCAGTTTTGCTTACCGGTTGTAAACAAACTGTTTATTTATTTTT